TGTTTGTTATTGTACAATGGTGACAACAATTGAATATAGCCGTGTAATTACCAAATACTGCTGGGATAATGACGATAACCTTACCTTCAGCAGGTGCGTGACTCACATTCATGTTCAGTGGCCACTGCCGCTTGCCCTAGCGTCTCATATACTGAAGCAGACATGAAAAAGGAAACCGAAAATACTGATTTAAAGAGAGCTACTTTGTGTCTGATCGGCGCATTTAAATGGATACACATGAAAATCACGCATGTTATAAATGACAAAGAACGCACAATTTATCAAGAAATAAACGTCTCACCTGAAAACTGCAAGGTTTAACTCGGCCAACATACAATCACAATATGCAAATTGTACAGTCAAGGCACGCTAACACTGCCAAAAATATTTCCGCCCATTTCAAGCACGCATTTTCGAAGGAATCTGTGGAAAGAACACCGGCTACGCAAATTGTGGAATTAATAGTAAACGGCATCATCTCCACATTCGAAATTTCCCCCATATGTAACTCAGAACGAGCACGTAAGCTAGAAAGGAACACTTCACGCCGACATGTTCAATGAAATGGAACATTCAATGACTTTACCACCACTGGGATCCTGGAGTGCTCACGGCCTAGGACAATTGAAAGTTGAAAGTTTAGCAAAGACGAAAAAAATGGCAGCATATCCATGGAGTTAATGATGGAGAGTGGGCTGAAGCATCCGTCCGTCCATGCGTGCGTCTGTGTGGCCGCCCGTGCGTCCAGCCGCCCGTCCACGCGTGCGTCTGTTCGTGCGTCCGCACGTTCATCTGAGCGTCCGTCTCTGCGTCCGTTCATGCGTCCATCCGTCCGTGCAGCTATCCGTGTGTCCGTTCATGCATCTGTCTGTGTGTCCGTTCGTCCACCTATTCAACACTCCAAGTGCCACCATCTCGCATCTTTTCATCATATATTCCTCATATAGAAGCACCGCCATCCAGCGGACATTCCAAGGACTAAACGAGAGGTGGCACACGCACACTTTCTTACGGGTTGCGCTTCGGGTCCACTTCCCACCTTTAACCACCTCGAGTTCATGGTATATACTAGTTCACTGTATTCATGGCACTGCGGCCGAACGCTCGCTGAACCTTTCGAAAACCAAGAAGGTTACGCCCAGCGAGTACGACGTAGCAAACTTTTTCAGTCAGATAGTGCTCAATGTACATGCCAACGGCTGCTAATGGGAAATGAGAGGCGGAAAATTCGGCTTTTTACTTTCTTACGGCTTGCGCTTCGTATCTACTTCCCATTTTTAACCACCTCGAGTTCATCCAAGACTAATCCAAGACTAATCGTAGACTCTCGCGTGATTTTCAGCCACAGTTCTTTCAGTAACGGTGGTGATTATTTCGTGTACATGGTTAATTATGGCAACATTCACAATGAGAGCTTCTCGCAAACTTTCCAGTTTGCGATAGAAGAGATGCACGTGCACGTCTAGGCTAGGTTTCCCTGAGGGGAAAGCTTGATTTTTTCCAACAATAGCACTCTCGTAACTTGAAGAGCCGTTAATCGCAACCTTGATGCCAGTTGTAATATTTCAGCAGCTTTTAGCCACGTTCATCAAAGTGTGACGATGAAATCTGGTGAAATTGGTACGCACGGTAACTTCTACTTCCAGAACCGCACACGAGAGGGTGCCTTAGAAAAAATTACACCATCTCCCCGAAGAAAACCATAGTGTGATACGGAGCATCGCGGGGAATTTCAACGGTGTTTTCAGCAGCGGTGTTTACCAGCTTGCGGTGTTACCTTTGCGGTGAACCTTGCGTATTATTACGTTGTTAGATTGGTTCGTTATCACGCATCCAGTGAACGTTGTGTCGACAACTCCCGCAAGGCTCTGCATCACCCCTTGGTCCCCTTACGAGAGACGGTATGATTTTAGGGGCGAAGCACCTTAAAGCGGCCCCCGTACGTCCCTCGTAGTAGTCGTAGTCGTAGTGTGTAACCAGTCTTACATTTTCACCTGCAAGGTGGTGCCGATGGGAGATTTCTCCTGTGCGTTGTTGCACAATAAAAAATTCGCAGCATGCGCGTTAACTAAAAGCCGAATTCTCCTGTCTCTCATTTCCCATTAGCAGTCATTCGCATGTACATTGAGCACTATCTGACAAGAAAGGGTTGCTACGTTGAGGCGGAAATGTTGTAGGCCCGTGTGCTCAGATTTGGGTGCACGCTAAAGAATCCCAGGTGGTCGAAATTTCCGGAGCCCTCCACTACGGCGTCTCGCATAATCATATGGTATTTTTGGGACGTTAAACCACGCATATCAGGGTTGCTACGTTATACTCGCTGGGCGTAACCTCCTTGGTTTTAGAAAGGTTTAGTGAGCGTTGAGCCGCCGTGTCATGAATACTGCGAACTAGTAAATACCATGAACTCGAGGTGGTTAAAGGTGGGAAGTAGATATGAAGCGCAAGCCGTAAGAAAGTAAAAGCCGAATTCTTCTGTCTCTCATTCCCCATTAGCAGCCATTGGCGTGTACATTGAGCACTATCTGACAAGAAAAGGTTGCTACGTTATACTCGCTGGGCATAACCTCCTTGATTTTACAAAGGTATAGCTGAGCCTTGGGCCGCAGTGCCATGAATACAGCTAGTGAACTAGTATATACCATGAACTCGAGGTGGTTAAAAGTGGGAAGTAGACACGAAGCGCAAGCCGTAAGAAAGTGTGCGTGTGCCACCTCTTCTTTAGTACTTCGAATGTCCGCTCGATGGCTGTTGCTTCTATTGGGGAATATATGATGAAAAGATGCAAAATGGTGGTACTTGCAGTGCTGAGTAGATTGACGAATAGACACACAGACAGATGCATGGACGGACGCACGGATGGCTGCACGGCCTGATGGACGCATAGACGGACGCAGGGGCGGACGAACGCAAGGACGAACGCACGAACAGACGCACGCACGGACGGGCGGATGGACACATGGACGGTCACACAGACGGACGCATGGACGGACGGAAGCAAGAACGAATCGACGGATGGATGCTTCGCCCCACTCTCTATCATTCACTCCGTGGATATGCTGCCATTTTTTGGTGAATGCCAGAGCCAGGTGCTGAGGCAACTACTGCCGTGTCGCGTTGTGCACTGTATGTGTAGTTGTGAGCGTTAATTGCAGTTTTATTCCGCTGCAGTTCTTTTATCTTGTTGCCTATATGTTTATTTCATGTGTGTTACTTATAATTGCATGGCAGCTGTATTTTTGCTTCGCGCAGTGCAACGAACCTCTCTTTGTGCCTGCGTTTATCAAACATTAACAAAGTGGGCGTGTGCTTACGAAGAATATCACTTGAAATTAAAATTTTTCGCTCCACCTATGATTCTCGTGTTTTAAATTGTGCGCATAGACACACATGGACATCAGTGTGCTTGCCGCTTTAGTGGTGCAGCTTACACACAGCTCATCGATTTTTATTGTACCGTGCTTAGAGTGGAATATCGCATCTATTACCCACTGCATATAATACGTGGTCTATTCTTGAATGGTCGGGCCTTGTTCCATGCCTATACCATTCATTCCTTCTGCTCTATGTTGCCACTAACTGCAGTACAACCGACTAACGGCAACCGAGCAGACAACTATTTGGATTAACCTCCGTGTTTTCGATATACGCTATTTTGACACTTTCTAACTCGCACTCATATTCTTCAAATATACAAAATTTCGTCATACGTATTTTGCCACTTTCTAACAGCTCACTCATATTCTTCACATATAAAAAATTTCGTCACACAGTATTATCACCAGTTCCTTAAGCCAAATTTGTTATTTCTCGAAAACTCAATTAATAAGGTAAAGCACTCATTGCTGCGATTCTGCATAGGATACACAGCTATCACTTCATGGCTTTATTCCGTGCCGGCGACAAACGCGTGACAAAAATGGCAATCATTCGCAGAATCTTTGTACTGTATCGAGATAACAATTCGTAAAATTAAGCGAAATATATTAATTAAAGGTATTGCTGGAATAAACAATTTCCGGAAACAAATAAAGGTGAGCTGAGACATTCCTGCGGGATCTCTCGTTCCTCTCCCACAAATCCAAAGCACGTAGACTGGGTGCGGGCAAGAAGCTTCCTGCGGTATCTCGACGCCTGCTGTGGTGTCTGGAACACGACTCCCTTCTTGCCGTCCTCGCCGAAACCGCAGGCGTAGCTGTGGTACCGGCGCCGCGACACCTTCCATGACGACGGATCCCAAGATAGACACAGCTTCGAAAGACTTGCAACGCTCATGAACTCCAGCTTGACCGTGACCCTCTGGACTCTGTTCGGGTCGCACGGCTGCGAAGCATTCACCATCACGACAGACACGGCCATCGTAGGTAGAAACAGGAGGCAGGTAGAGTGACCAGACGACGTTCTCGTGGAGTTTTCCTCACCCATCACCCGGGACGGTGAAGGCCATTCGTTGACGTTGCCGAGCGCCGACGTGGTCGGGTAAAGCAACAGCGACGCCGTCGAACCCAGAACCTTGTCAAGCGCGTGCAACCTCGTCGCATACCACTTGGGCTGCTCGTGCGCCGCTGTGTATAGAACAAAGAATCCCAAGGTGCAGTTGGCCTTCCGCAGTGCTATCGCAACTTGCTTTACTGTGCGGAGAAAACCACGAAAGACGATACTGCATTCCCTAGACTCTCTCCACCATAGTCGAAGGCCAACGTAGCGGTCTGACCGTACCAGCAAAGCAGCGTTGCGGACGAAGTCGTCCCTGGCCCGTTGGTCTCCCGACGCTAGGAGTCTCTGGAAGGCCGACTCCCGCTCGCGGACCGCCACGAGTATCTCGGGAGATCGACCGCTGGTGACGCCACGACTAGCCGAAGCCTGATCTTGGGGAGACGTTGATTTCGGCGCATGCGTTCGTGACGCCTCTGGTCGAAGAGTCATGTCCCTTTCCAGGATGTAGCAGCATCTAATCAGCAGCTTGCAGTGCTGCGCACCCGGAGGGATCCGTTCTTGGTTCACAGTTCGTTATCGTCCATGGCCCTGCCGTGGTCTATGTAGAGACAAATGGTGCCAGAATGTTCGGTGATGTCGTGTCGCCGACGTGTTGCCTGCTTCGATGGATTTTCGGTGGCATCGGTTTCGTTCGAGACAAAGTCAATGGCCCGTCTTTCAGCTGCAACAAAAATTGAGGAAAATTGTGCAAACGTAAACAATACTCGCGAAGAGTAATAAAAACTCAAATATATATATATATATATATATATATATATATATATATATATATATATATATATATATATATATATATATATATATATATATATATACGTATATATTGCCACTTGGCTGCTAGTTACGGCGAGCGCAAGCCATGACTGCCCGCGAGAATGGAAGAAGATGTTCTGGGGCAGCGCGTGCTCTGGCCAGTTACTTATTATTGAAGCAGCCATCTTGCCAGTTTTCGGTGCGTCTCCCCGACAGCTCAGTTCTTTCTAGTTGAAGACCTTTTGTAGCACGTGACAACTGGTGGAGGTGCTGGGTCACCCCCAGCCGATGTTCCAAACGCCTCCAGGTAGCCCTGTACCTGCAGTGACAACACCTGTCCACCGCTCAAGACGAAGACTCCCGAACGCTATGGAAGGCGCTGCAGCCTCCAACGCACAGGAAGGCGGTGCGACCACGCATAATACGCTTTGGAAGCCACGTGTGCCAAAGGTGTTCCACGGTTCCGTCTTGGAGGATGTCGAAGACTGGCTGGCCCAGTTCGAACGGGTTTCGGATTACAATGGTTGGACCGACTTCGACAAAATAAGGAACGTATATTTCAGCTTGGAGGACGGCGCTCGTACTTGGTACGAAAACCGTGAGCCTTTTCCCTCGTGGAGCGTCTTTCGTCGATACCTGCTGGCAAGTTGGGCCAATCCCGATCGCCGCGAACGAGCCGAGCAAGAGATTCAGTCGCGCCTCCAAATGCCGAATGAAAGCGTCATGATGTACGTCGAGGACATGACGAGCTTTTTTCGTCGAGCTGACCCCGACATGGCAGAAGAAAAGAAGGTCCGTCATTTAATGCGAGGAGTGAAGGGGCAGCTTTTCGCTGGCCTCGTTCGCTGTCCCCCAAAGACCGTGGCGGAATTTTTGACCGAAGCCACAACCATGGAGCAAGTGCTGCAGCAGCGCTCTACTGTGTACGACCGGCAAGTGAGTGCCACTTCGTCAATAGGTCAGATCGGAGGTGCGGCAGGCAACATTAACATCGAGTCTCTTTGCGATCTCATTCGATCGGTGGTGCGCGACGAACTACAAAAGATTCAGTGCCAGTCCCAACCTACTGCAGGGTCTATCTGCAGCCTTGTCAGAAACGAAGTACGACAGGCTCTCCAAGTTCCGCCTTCCAGCTATGTCCCACCTGTCCTGGCGGAGCCACATCGTGCATCATACGCAGAAGCTGTAAGCCGGTATATTTCAGCTTCACCGCGCTTCGTTAATCCTATGCATCAGGGCGCACTTCCTTCACTGCTGCCAATTCAGCACTTAGAAAATCGGCAGCCACTTCCCAGAAAACCCGACGTATGGCTCACACCAGACAGACGACCACTGTGTTACCACTGTGGTGGAGCTGTACATGTGTACCGGGAATGTCCCTACCGTCGCCTCTGACTACAGGGTTTTGCCGTCGACGCACCACGGCCGAGATTTGGCGAAAGACCGAGAGCTATTCAAGATTACCTCTCACAGCAGCGCATGCCACTGCGGCGGCAGTCACGGTCCCCATCCCCAAGGTGATCTTCTCCGAATTTTTGGAGCCTTCCAGGAGCGGCTCCGGCGCGTTCGCAAAGCCCTAGGCGGGAAATCTAACGACAGCGACCTTCGGGAGCGAGGCCGCTGACACCCGACGCAAGCAAAGCCTCCCACCGACGCAAGCACGGACACGGAACGATTCCCCGACGACAGTGACGAAAGCCAGAAGCAGATTTTCTCTGGATATACATGTGGTAGTCGACGGTCACCACGACGTTAGTGCGTTATTGCACACAGGTACGGACTACTCGATCATAAGCGGGAAACTAGCAACGCACATAAAGAAAGTTGTAACGCCTTGGTACGAAGCACAAATTCGTACTGCCAGCGGGCACGTAGTCACCCCAATCGGCATGTGCACTATCAGAGTGAGCATTCGGGGACGTACATTTCTCACCAGCTGCCTCGTACTTCGTGACTGTTCCCAAGACCTAATCCTCGGAGTCGACTTTTTGCGGGAGCACGGCGCTATTATCGATCTTCGAGAGCGTACTGTGACGTTTTCGACAGCTGGATCCTCCGACATACCTGACGACATCCGTGACAGCACGCTTCGCATTTCTGCCGACAGCATCACTTTGCCTCCGCGTTCAAGCGTCCTAGTTGATGTGGTGTCTGACAAGTTACGGGATGGTGAGGTTGTCGCCGAAGGAAACTTGACGCTTTTGTTCGCGCTAGGCATCTGCGCTGCACGCAGCCTCGTCACGCTTTATGACGGACACTCTGCCCTACTTGTGACTAATTTTAGTAACGAGTACCGGCACCTGTTTCGTGACACCGCCATCGCTTTCGCCTACCCTATCGCTGACGTTTCTGGATGCTTCGCATCTACATCAGCCAACGACGGGCTTCGACCGACACCAAGCGACGTGACTTCATTACTTGGAAAAGTCGATGTCAACTCGACCCTCTCGGAACAACAACAGACCGAGCTACGTGAACTGCTATATATATTTAAAAAGTGCTTCGCGTCCACCACGAAGGTTCGTCAGACACCGATCGCCAAACATCGAATAATTACGTATACTGACGCCTCGCCCAGAAAACAACACCCTTACCGAGTTTCGGCAAAAGAACGTGACGTTATAAATACTCAAGTCAAAGAGATGTTGCAAGATGACATTATCCAACTTTCGAAAAGTGCCTGGTCATCTCCGGTCGTGCTCGTGAAGAAAAACGATAGATCACTGCGCTTCTGCGTGGACTACAGGAAACTTAACAGCGTGACTAAAAAAAACGTCTATCCGCTGCCTCGCATCGACGATTCCCTCGACAGACTGCGGCAAGCCAAGTATTTTTCATCGATAGACTTGAAAAGTGGCTACTGGCAGATCGAAATTGATGAACGAGGTCGTGAAAAAACCGCCTTCGTTACACCGGATGGCCTATATTAATTCAAAGTGCTTCCCTTCGGCCTCTGTTCTGCACCTGCGACATTCCAGAGAATGATGGACACTGTTCTTACCGGTCTAAAGTGGCACACGTGCTTAGTTTACCTTGATGATGTTGTCGTATTTTCTTCCACCTTTGAGGAGCACCTGAAGCGTCTGCAGACTGTGCTGAAAGCACTACGCTCTGCTAACCTGACGCTGAAGCCAGAAATATGCCATTTCGGTTACAAGGAACTTAAGTTTCTTGGCCATGTTGTCATTGTGGGTGGTATTCGACCAGACCCTGACAAAAGTACCACCGTGGCCTCGTTTCATGTTCCACGTGATAAGAAGGCAGTGCGTCGCTTTCTGGGGCTCTGCGCGTACTACCGCTGCTTTATAGCCAATTTTTCTAGGATTGCTGAAACACTCACTCTACTCACTCGTGAAGATGTTCCATTCGTCTGGGAGGAAGAACAGGACGCAGCTTTCTCTGAACTACAGGAGCGTTTGCAGACACCACCAGTCCTCGCTCACTTTGACCAAGACGCTGATACTGAAATTCATACTGACGCCAGCAACGTGGGTCTTGGTGCTGTCTTCGTACAACAACAAGAGGGCACAGAGCGAGTGATAGCGTACGCTAGCCGCACTCTTTCCCGCGCCGAGGTCAACTACTCCACGTCAGAGAAAGAGTGCCTCGCTGTTGTATGGGCCACTATGAAATTTAGGCCTTACCTTTACGGACGCCACTTCAAGGTAGTGACCAACCATCATTCGTTGTGCTGGTTAGCCAACCTACGGGACCCGTGTGGGCGACTGGCATGATGGAGTCTTCGTCTGCAGGAATACGATTTCACGATCGCTTACAAATCGGGCCGCAAGCACGGAGATGCCGATTCATTATCCCGTGCACCTGTCGAAGTTTGTGGCCACGACACCGAGGATGACGATGGTTTCCTTGGGGCCCTTACTACAACAGATCTGATTACGCGACAGAGTGCGGACGATGAAATTCGCGCAGTTATCGAAAACCTTGAAGGACGCAACTCGTCCATACCTCGATGTATTTCTCGAAGTCTGTCATCGTTCTGTCTGCGAGATGGGGTCCTGTATAAGAAAAACTCCAACGGCAATGAGAGAACCTATCTTCTAGTCGTGCCAACAGACATGCGTGACGACATTTTTCTTGCCTGCCACGATGAGCCCACATCTGGTCTCTTAGGTTTCTCTCGAACTCTCGCTCGAGTTCGACAAGCATACTACTGGCCTAAGCTTTCTGCATCAGTTAAGCGATACGTGAAAAGATGCCGGGAATGTCAATGCCGCAAATCCCCGCCACTAAAGCTTACGGGGCTTCTTCAACCAATAGAACCACCCAGAGCGCCATTTGATCAAATAGGAATGGATTTACTGGGGCCCTTTCCACTATCATCTGCCGGCAATAAGTGGATCGTAGTAGCCACCGACTATTTGACCAAGTACGCCGAAACAAAGGCACTACAACGCGCTACTGCTTCCGACGTCGCCCAATTCTTTATGGACCAGATCGTTCTTCGCCATGGCGCCCCGTCATGCGTAATCACAGACATAGGAACAGCCTTCACGGCCCAGCTCATTCATGACGTATTCAAGCTCAGCTACACGAGCCATCGCAAAACAACGGCATATCATCCACAGAGCAACGGCTTGACAGAGCGACTCAACAACACCATCGCTGACATGTTATCTATGTACGTAGATGTCCAGCATAAGACCTGGGACCAGGTGCTACCGTTCGTCACATTCGCGTACAATACTGCCGTCTAGAAAACTACTCGATTCACGCCTTTCCGTCTTGTCTATGGACGTGAGGTCAAGACCATGCTGGATGCGATGCTTCCACACAGGAGTGATGCTTTGATCACTCCTGATGCTGTGCAGCTTACCCAGTACGCCGAAGAAGCACGCCAGTTAGCACGCCTACACATTACACACCAGCAGAGTACAGACGCATGCCGCT